AAGAAGCTTCGGTAGTTATCTTGCAAGAAGCTTCGCAGCACTACTTATAATATTCGTTTCAGCCCTAGTGTATACACAAAACATTCCCTCTCTCTCTCTCCACCATGCTTCAATTAAAGTGATATTATTTTTGGACAACTTAACTCTTATCGTCCATGATTTTTTTCTTCCATTATCGTTATTGGAGTAAATGTACGAGTGGAGGTGATAAAAGGTTAAATGCTTTGATAGAACCTGTAGTACAAGGAAGAAACAGCTGCTAAAGATGATTTTGAATGTTCTGAGAAACTTACCCGTTTAACTATAAATGTTTAATTAGTACGGTTATACTTGCTATTACACAACTCATGTTACTGAACAAAAAATTCCAAAGTATGATACTTGGCGATACATGTACAGAGATGACAATGTTTGGATATTCATGCCTATTGGTAGTAGTATTAAAAAAATAGCTAAATGTTAAAACTACTTGTTCAGCAGACTTGTAGAAAAATGCGAAGTAAGAAACAGTAACTTTGATTTGCATGAGATACAGTGCCCTGTTAAATATATTGGAAAAGACCTTTTATAAAATCTGATGGGTTTCCTACAAGACATCCATTTAAACTCAAAACTTTAATGAAATGAGGATATTGTAATGTTCTAAAAAAAGCTTTTCTTATTAAGGAGAAAAACTTCTATGAATCATAATAGGGGTTAGCCTCTGTAACTTTTGTTTTTTTTTCATGTGACCTTACTCCCATCTAGTTTTGAAGTTGGCTACTCATGTATTTTACATTAGCTAATCATTTTTGCAATCAGGTGGCTTGCTCTGATGGCAGCCCTAAAGGGCAAGCAATCTTAACTGTTTTATTATTTTATTGCTTAACTATTTAACAGTTCCAAACATTTTGTATTTTACCAGCTAATTTTTGACCACTATTTTCTTACATAGGCTGATTATGGTACTAGGTTATTTTCTTTTTGACTAAATTTAAGTATATTGACACACGATAATATATATTTTGTGTATTTTTATTAAGTATTAATGTTTTTCTTTAACCTTTAATTTTACAAAATTTTTCCATATATTTTATATGTGCACCTTCCAAATTAGTTTTTCCCCTTCATACATCATCATCATACCATTTCAATCATCTCATGCAGTATTTGTTCGTTGTACTGTGTTCCTCACTATAGAGTATTATCCAACTGTTACTTGTACAGGAATGTTACTATAGAGAGATCCAACATCAAGTCTGTTTATCTGCAAATTTTTCAAATAATCATACACCTCAAAGCTGTTTAAACTGCACACTTATTACCTCACTTGCTATGCAGAAAATGCATGTATGTTGTGTATTGGAGGGAGTAATGTTAGTAGAACAGCTTCAAGAACTCATGAGTGAAAGAAAAGTAAAATATGGTATATCAATCACACCGCATCTGCCATATCCAATGCCAACAAGGTCTTTCACCCAATATCTAGGATCAACGATCTGGTTGGAACACAGCATGTTGGTGGTCCAGTCAATATTTATATCATCAACTTCTATGAAAATGATTTTTATAGTGAATTGACCATTCTATTTTAAGTCATTTATAAGTTAGATTTATTGGGTAAGAACTAATAAGTCATTCCTATTTATATATAAATATTTCAGTTTTAAATCCAATTATTTAATCGTTATCATTCAAAAGAACTGGCAAATCAGAAAGCTAGTCTTGTTCTTGGAGAAGGTCAACACTAGCATCAATAGGAGAAAATTACATTAAATATGTTATATTAATCACACTGCCTCTGCCCTATCCACTGCCAACAAGTATTTTCACCCAATACCAAACCTCATTAGGCCTACTTGGATAAGACAAATATATCTTTTATGATACTCATTTTTCATAATAGTGTAGATAATATTCCTTATATTTCACATTATATATATAAATAAAGAATAATTGAAAACTGTTTACAATAAAACTTAATTGATGTCCAAACCTTATCAGAAAGTTTTACAGGCCATTAAAATAAAAAATTATTAAATCATTGCCAAATAATAATAATATTGGTAGGTACTTAAAAAAAGTCAAGTGTATCTTGATGTTGAAATTCAAGGATTTGTAAATAACACTCCATTCATAAAAACTAACTTATTCTGAATTACAATTATTGTTTTTAGCAAGAAAAATTCTGAATTATTCATTATAGGTGCTGTGAATCAGGTAATAAAATAAGCAAACAAAAATTTTGATTAAAAAAAATCATTCTTCAAAACAGTGGAACTCCAGTAGATGTACTGTATATATTAATACACTATGCTGTGAAGGTTTTCATTTTATCGACAATGTATATATTTATACACATGAGCTTATGTATGATCAAGGTGCAAGATACAGAGAAAAATCCCTGAGAAGAGAATCTTTGGTGATCATCAACACAAATCATTAAATCTATTCATGAAATCTTTAACGTAAAATTATTTTTGCAGAAATTAAACAAGTTTCGTAAGAATCATTTATTCTGGAAACTGAACTGAAAACTTTGCTGCAAGTTTATAAAACCAGAATGGTTACTCATCACTGCTATATTAACATCATTTGTGATCATACCAAAATGTTTTGTACAACACTACCTCGGCAATAATTAAATCATGCAAAGAACAAGCAAATTAGTTGTTCTGACTACATAATCTTCCCATATATTTTGTTAAATATTTTACTGAGTACAGTGACTGAATAAAGTATTTAATAATTAAATTTTATAAGTAATCTGCCTGAACTAATTATCAGTTGTTTCACAGGTACTTCAAATTCTCTTAATGATATTAATATCGGGTTTTATTAACAGCTTAATTTACTTATGTTTGTTTTGTCTTAACTTCAAATGTTTAATATTTTACAGTGATGATATACTCTAATTAGTTTCAACCTAATAAGAAATAATTCATTAGAACCTTAAAAAATTAAAATACTTTCAATAACTATGTAATTATCTTTTCTTTAAATATAGTAAAACATTCAATGAGCTAAAAATTTAAGAAAAAAAGCTTCAATTAAAAAACAATGTCCATGATGATTTCTTTTTCTATGTCAAAACAAGTAATAGATTTAACTGTTATCTTGATTACATGCCAGGCAACATGCAAAGGTGATTCCAATAATCTGTAAACATAAAAATGAAAGTTTATTAGACAAACTTCAAAAGACAGAAAAATTAAGAAACAGGCTTTAGTCTTGAAGTATAATAACTAGAAAAGTCTGCTTGGAAGCCTTCTTTATCTGCCACAAGTAATAGTCTATATCAGAATTAACTTCAAACTATAACAACCTCAGTTTTATAAACCATGTTACCTTTCCATTGTAATAAAATATTTTTAAAAGTTGCCAGATTGGAGAACTTGAGTTATATTAAAATATAACTAGATTTTTATAACTTCTGTAAAAATACTTTAGCAGGATACCATGATAAATTATAGTTTTCATATAACATCCTACAACATTTCAGGTATTTTTTGACCCACTTGCAGACAAGTAGTTGAAATATTTTCTCATAATTAAAACAAATACAACTTTTATTAAATGTCACAAGATTTGTATGCAGTTTAAACAGTTTCATATTTTAAGAATAGGGATAGTCATTAAGTAACCTATTTCAACATGACACTGCCACCTTTAAGCCATTATTCGAAAATAAGTTGCATAATGTTTCAAAAACTGCACCTAACTGACCTGAATAAAAGCTATCCCAACTCCAACACCTCCCAAAACATATATTTTATCTCGAAGAAAGTTTTTCAAAGCTTCAGCACATCCCTAAAAAAATACTGTTATTTAACAAGATGACATATGGCACGCTGAATCATATCCATCATTACAGAATTTCTTTTTCTACAGAAAAACAGTAACAAAAAACTATTATTGTATAGTTCTTTACCTCTGTTCTCTGTCATATCTGTAGAAATCTTCATAGTTCACAAATGTAAAAATTTACTGAAAACTGGTTTTTCATCTATATGTATACTTAGGTGAACCATTCTCTGGTAATTTGTTATTGCTACGACTATATGCACAGGTGTGTCAAAGTGCATGACTTTTTATAGAGCTACATTCAAAAGTTAATTAAATAGCTATTAATAAAGTCAAAAAACTTAGTATCAAAACATAGATTATAATTCAAATTTTAAAACTATGCAAGTTTTAATTTAATTTCAAATGAGAATATTTAATTAAGTTCTCAATATTAACTTTTTTTTTTGCTGAATGCAGCTGCAAAGCAATTAAATTAAATGAAACCAGATTAGCATTGGCTATAAAACTAAGTACTGTGTAATTGTTTGTTACAATATGCTGTCATTCTAGAAAAAAAAGTTAATTTAGATTTACATCATATATTTCAACCATTCAATTTACCTTACACAGTTGAATTTGCTCTAGTTAATGTTAGGGTAGAGAAAACAAAGTACTGAAAAACTTATGATATTGAATTTAGAGGCTCTAAATATTGTACAAATGAAATATGAAAAGTTCATGAAGAACAAATAAAATTTTTAATCTTTACACTAAAATCACCTTGTGCTAAGACTAGTCACAGTTTGAGTCGAGTCAGACTGATTAACCTTTGGAAATTCTAAAATAAAGTTTTTCAAAATTTTCGGTAAATCTTCATATTTTATGCTATTTTTTCAATTCTAACACTAACAAAATAAATGTACAGTAAAAAGTTAAAAAACATGAAATAAAATAATTCCTTTTTCTTCCTTCTTTGGATTAATCATTTTGCTTAATTAATGGTATCCTTACCTTCACAGTTTCAACTGTTAACCTTTTCATATTTTACTTCTATTACTCGTACCCACATCAACAGTAATCCTTCCATCAAAAGCAATAAATTACAACAGTATATCTTTAGCATGTCATATAAATTCCAAGAGCAAAGTGTTTGCAATGCTTGATCTTTGCGAGTACAAACTGTAGCTCTGCTAGGCCTCACTTTTTTTTATTCACTAAATTACGTCTTCAAATAAGAATTCATGTAGCTTCCAAGTATGCATTTTAGAACACAATTATATATCCAGCACAAGAACAGAATGACTAAAAACTAATACAATTAGCTTTCGACCTAAGATATACATTGTTTAAAAAAAATTCAGTAAGCTTATTGAAGCTGAACTAAAAGCAAATGCACACAAGCCATTTGATGTAACTGTCCACACCTGTTTCCTACAAAGGAATAAATGTAATAAAGTTCTATTACCTACAAAATTACTTTTGCTATTGGTTATAAACATGTCCATGAAATAAGAACATGTGAAATGGATAAATGCATTCAAACCTATGATACAAAGGGGGAAGCTTTTCAGGTGGGTGTCCCAAATATATTCATATCTCAGTAATTTGACATGGTAGGAGGTTTACATTTTATATTCTAGCCTGCCAATGTCTAGTTTGTGTTTCTAATTGGATATAAGCCTTATCAACTTATTTTTCATAATAGAATATTCTGAAAAGGTAAAATCTAAGCTCAGACTGAAAAGTACATGTTCAGCATTATAAAATATTTCTTTTAAATTAAGGTATCAAGACTTCGATATCAAAATTTAAGTTCTAAACTACATTTTGAATTTAAATTCATTAACATATATTGATAATAAAGCTGTTAAATTAAAATTTGACTGTAACTGTAAAAGGTTGTGATTTTGAACATGCAAGCACATAAAGTTTGGAAGTATTAACCCCAAGTAAAAATATTATAATATTAAATTAATGAAACAACTGATGAATTTTCACATTTTAATCAGTTTTATCAATGTATTAAGTAGTAATATTTTCTGATAAGGAACAGACCTGTTAATTGCAGCCATCCAAGCTTATGCCATTGGGCTAATCATATACTGCCTGTCATGAAAAAACAAGTAATATGTACATTTGAATATTTATAGCACCAGAAGCCACAAATCTGGTGAAGTTCTCTAGCAATTACACCATCAAATGAACTAGTCCTAAAGATGACAAATTAGTACAATAAAATTAATTGATAGTTAATCATCCTAATTTTTTTTTTAAAAACAATGGGGAGGAAGAATAAATTATAAATTCTCTACATCTACAATTCCACTGTGGGAAAGAAAAAGGATCTCAATGACACCCCCCCCCCCTTGTCACAAGATG